GGGGGGGGGCCCCCCCCCCTTGAAAGGCGGACCGAGACATAACCGGCCCAAACTCTTGCACTTGCACCGCTCGCCCCCTAATACTTGCTACGCAAGGGGGAACTCAGGTAGCTCACCGCTACCTTTCGAGACTTTAGACTACGCTATACACTAGACTACACTACAGCACGCAACACTACAGCACACTACACTACGCTACATTTCATTTCACTACACTCATTACACCACAGCACAACTACAACTGCAACTACACTACACTAATCACACTACACTACACCTACAACTCCACTACGCTACAACTACAATTACAGCTGCACTACAACACACTACATCCAGCAGTTGTGGGTGAGGTGACCACTGCAACCATTGCAAGCACTCCGAAAAGCACAACTCCAGCCACTTTTCCGTCCATCAGTGGGTTCGCTCTGCCATCCATGCATCACAACTTAGAACAAGAACTCACCTCTGCTATAGCATCCTATCTTTGAAACTTCCGCCACCACCTTGTGTGGTACCACTGCTATGTACTGTTTAGACCTACATCTGGGTGCTGAGAGTGGAACTCGGCCGACTAGCACAAAATCAAGCTGGACTCGTGGTATCCAAGCTTGTTCGCTCGTGGTACTCTACAGGACGGTATTAGTTTCTTCAAATTGAAAGCAGACTTTGGCTCGGCGGATGTGCTGTGAAGGACCATCATGCCCTACAAATTATATAGTTCAATAGTTCAATATCTTTCACAATAGTGTAGTGCCTGTCTGTGCATGATGAAGAAAAATTTCAAAAGCTAAAGCATACTAACGCTATGTAATATCTAATAAGATCATGTAACATGTACTTATTATATTATACACATTTATTGTTTATCGATTAAAAAAAATGACCAAAAAAACATTTGGCTGGGACTCAACAAACGGTATGGATCACCTCGGTTTTGATATGGATTGAGGGTACGGATCGCCTGTACTTTAACATGTTTTAATCCTTGATCCGGACGTTAATTTTTCAGCCGCAGCCACATGTACCAATATGCACCAGCTCAAGCCATCAAATCTTTGACAGCCAACAGTTGATTGACTTTTTTTGTCACTGGATTAAGCCTGCTCTTTCAAAGTGCTGCTTAGGCTTAAACTCAGACATCTTAGACGCACATCTGTCTCACGCCGGCCAAGGCCTTAAAGAGGCTGGCAGGGTCCCCCTCTCAGAAATGGAATTTGAAGCACTCCACTAGATCTGAAGCCAACTTGTCCATTTCAATCTCGGTGTCATGACAAAGTAGTCGGAGATCGACAACGTTCAAGAGGTGCTGCCTAGTCTTGGGAAGCGCATCGGGGAGAATATCATCTGGCTTCAAGTATTGCCAGGACAAGAAATTTCGAGCGTTGGCTGGATCGGAGAACTTCGCTATTCCATGTTTGCGTGCCTGCATGTCTTTCAGGAAGCTATTCAAACCTGGAAGTTCTTCTTCCGCTATGCTGCCATCGCCCTTTCGAAACTGCATCTGCATTGAGTCATACACAGGACCAACCAAACCATGGACCTGCGGAATGAAGTAGATTTTTTTGCTGCTGCCGGGGCTGAGTGCTTCCATCTTCTCTTTCGTTGCTGCCATCAAGAAGGCATACATCGAGTTGTGCTGCTCAATGCGCTCACTCATCACACTCAGTTGAGGGAACATGATGGCACCCTGCATGTTGGTCATTCGGACTGACTTGTTCACAGTCGTGTACTTGTACTGGAGGGCAACCTCCTCTGGGGGTGTCATTGGCCCATGCTTCTTCCAAAGCTCTTCGTAGCTTCCAGCTGAGAAAATGAAGAAGGCTTGCAGGGCCTCATTGCTAGTCAAAACCATGCCACCCTCTCCAGTGTTTACAAGCTTGTTGGCTTGAGTAGAGATGGTTGAAACCACTCCGAAAGACCCACACATGCGGCCATCAAAAGAGCATCCGTAGCCGTGCGCAGAGTCTTCCAACAGTTGCACCTGATACTTCTCGCAAATGTCCATGATGGTGTGCATGTTGGGAACCCGGCCGCGCATGTAGGACAGCACGAGGATCATGTTACCTGGTGCGAAGTTGCCAGATGCCAAGTCCTCCTTGATGCAAGCCTCCAGGTGATCCGTATCAATGGTCAGCTCTGGGGTTGCCTCAATCAGCTTCAAGGTGCTGGCAAAGCCAGCAACCACACATGCCGAGGGCACTGCATTGAAGGTGAAAGCATTGGAGTACACCCTGATGCGATCAATCTCAACATCAGGGAAGAACACCCGCTTGATACCTTCCAGCCCAAGACTGATTGCAATGCCGCCACTGTTCAATGACAGGGCATATTTCGTGCCAACATACTCAGCAAAGAACTTCTCACACTTCAACAAGAAGTTGTAATCCTCTTCTTTGGCTTGGTATCGGTTCAGCATATCTTTCTTGAAGAGAAGCTGCACATTCTGCAGCCCAACTTCCTGTGGAATCTCCAGGAGCCGGCGCTTCACACTGTCCGACACTGAAGAATTCATGTCAGTGCTGGCCGTATCACTGTCTCCTGCATCATTTTTCACGGGACTCCCAGGCAATTCTGGGGCCATCTTCAAGCTTGCCATGTCCGCAGCCTTCTACAACAAATTGACTCAAGGATTGAGATGGATTGAGATTGAGCACAAAGGCTTTCCATCAGCTGGTGCATGACAACAGCAGTGACAAACCGAACCGCCTGCTCTCACACAGACTCACACAACTAGACCATCCAACCAACTCAATGACTGCCACAACATGTGTCAAGCTTGAGTCAAGCATACCAATGTGCTGCAGACGAGTCTAGTGGGAGCGCTCTGAGATTGGTGCTCTAGAAGGGTCTTGTCTGCTGAATCCTCCTTTCATGTGCGCATGCATGACCAAATTTCTAATGATTTACCAGCACTGGCAACATCTTGGAGACAGCAAGGAAAAATGAAGAATGACCTGCTCAACTTTCAGAAATATGAACGCCAGACCAACCTCCTCCAAGTTTCTTCTCGCCTTCACAGGCTAGAGCTGGTTGGTAAAAGGCTTTTGTATATCTTTATGTGCCCCACAACGTTAGACGGTTATGCGTTATCTATCCATCCATCAGTCCGGCCATCCATCCATCGATCTACCGCGACCTAATCTAATATAATCTAAAATAATAATATCTAATAATATCTAATACAATCTAATATACTCGACCGTGATCTAATCGCTAAAGCGGCGGGTGCGGAGCCAGCTGGCCAGATGAGAGATGAAAAATTGCACGCGGTTGTGGCGCGAAGCACATTTCCAAGTGAAAAGGTACAAAACACCTGGGTCTCGGAGCACTTTTGGAAGTTGAGATGTCGAAAAAGTGCACGCCGTTGTGGCGCGAAGCACGTTTCGAAGTGAAAATGTACAAAACACTTCAGTGTCGGACCACTTTTGGAAGTTCAGATGTCGAAAAAGTGCACGCCGTTGTGGCGCGAAGCACACTTCGAAGTCAAAATGCATAAAAAACCACATATTCGCGCCACTTTTGGAGGTTCAGATGTCTTTTCGCGTGGCAGGCGCAAGGGATTGTGCACCTTGTCAAAAGTGAGCAAAACGTGAAGGTTTTGTAGCAATTTCAACTACAACCACCACTACACCACACTACATTCCAATACACTACACTACATTACAACTACAACTACAGCTACACCTTCACTACATTCCAATACATTACACTCCACTACACTACACCGCACTCAATTACACTCAATTGCACTCAATTACACTACACTACAATACATTACACTACACTCCACTACGCTACACTACCTTCCACTACACTTCCCTACATTACACTAGACTACACCCTACAACACAACAACTAGAACTACACAACTACACTCCACTACACTAAATTACACTACACTACATGACACTACACTACACTACATTCCACTACACTACACTACCTTCCACTACACTTCACATCACTTCACTACATTACACTACAACTACAGCTATAACTGAAACAACTACACTCCACTACACACCCCTACACTCCACTACACTACACTACACTACACTCCACTACGCTACAACTACAACTACAACTACAGCTACACAACTACACTCCACTACACTCCACCACACTCCACTACACTAAATTACGCTACACTGCACTACATTACACTACACTCCACTACACTCCACTAAATTACACTACACTCCACTACATTACACTACACTACACTCCACTACACTACTCTACATTACAACTACACTACACTACACTACACTACCTTCCATTACACTTCACTACATTACACTCCACTACAACTACAACTACAACTACAACTACAACTACAACTACACGACTACACTCCACTACTCCACCACACTCCACTACGCTAAATTACACTATACTACGTTACACTACACTACACTACATTACACTACACTACACTACATTACACTACACTCCACTACACTACACTACATTGCACTACACTACATTACACTGAGAGCACTGCACCACAGATAGACAGGCAGACAGATAGACAGATAGATAGATAGAAAGATAGATAGATAGACAGATAGACAGGTAGACAGCTAGACAGATAGACAGATGAAAGAGAGAGAGAGAGATAGATAGATAGTTAGTTAGTTAGTTAGATAGATAGATAGTTAGATAGATAGATAGGTAGGTAATTAGAAGAGAGAGAGAGAGAGAGAGATAGAGATAGATACATAGATAGATAAGTAGGTAGGTAGATTGAGAAAGAGAGAGAAAGAGAGGAGACCTCAAGCACCTTTCAGTCCATCAGTGGATTCGCTCTGCCATCCCTGATTCACAACAACCTATCTCTCCTATAGGTTTCCTATTTTTGAAACTTCCGCCACCGCCTTGCGCGGTACTACTGGTATACTCGACTGTGATCTAATCTACTGTGATTTAATGTGATCCACTCCAGTCCAATCCAAGTTTTGTAATCTAACTGTCTGTCCTATCTATCGACGTCTTTCACCTACCTGACTGACAGGATAGAGTAATATATACGAGTCTTTATATCACAAGATCATGTGGCATGCCTCTTCAAGAGGTGTCGCTTTAAGTAATTTGGAACTGGAAAATGCGAAAGGAAAGCAATAACTACAAAACTCACATGGCTAGTCACTAGTGGATTTCTTGGACTACAAAATGCTAGAAAATCCAACGGTATTCTGCTACGATATTTGTCCATTAACATTGGTTCTGTTTGCAGATCTCACCACTGGCACTCCCCGCAAACAGTTCAAAATGATTGGCCTCGACCTAGCCCCCATGGATTTTGGTATAATGTTCATTCATTTTCCATTTATACATGCCTCACGGCCAACCTGCGCAAGAAATTCAAAGGGGGATTCAAAATCTATAAAGAAACAGAGAATGCCAAAGGAAAAAGTAGCAAAATCTTGCAAGTAAAGAAAAATAAGCAGGAAAAAGGATTCTAGGCAAAACTGAAGGAAAAAAAACATCACACACAAGAACAAAGTTTGGGCCGCGGAAGGGGCACTCCCTCCACGAGTTTTTCCTTAAGGTGCTTGAGAGTCATTCTCTAGTTGTTTTCAGCTCCCACCGTCTTCGTCCAGTGACTTGAAGAGGCACATGTGACATGTAAGATAGATAATAGAGATGGACGAAATATTCAAACCCTCTCTCAAATAACCCCCCCACTGCCAAATTTCATCAAATTTCATGCCCCCCAGCCCCCCAATGGACGAAAGAAATCAAACCCCTGACATCAAATGTGCGCGCGTGCTGAAACATTGAGATTTGGGGATGGGGAGGTTAAACAATGTTAAACATAGTGTGTGTATGTGGGCCAGGGTTGGAATATTCTGTCCATCTACTGTAGTTAATAGATATCCGCCATTTTTAAGTGAATATATTCATGTGCGCATAGGTGTTGTGTATGTCGTGGCAGGCTATGAAAGGTTGCTGAAAGCTCTGAAAGCCTAGCGTATAACGCCAAGCTCTGTAAATATACGGTGTCATGCGGCGGCGGCGCCGAGTTGGGAATGACTTCATCGTATTATGTTTTGCATAGTCATGACATGGTTTCGTTGGGCACCATCATCGCCTGAAGCCTGTTCCAAATTTTCAAATCTGCAGTTTGGCGTTTGGTGTTCTTCCAGCCTCCTGCTCTTGACCGGTAGCTTCCAGAATGTCTCCCACAGCACCTGCTCAACGAAACCACGTAAGGTTACTGAATGCGCTGAGCCAACATGGATTCATCATTCAATCATCCCTTGGTCATGATGCTTGAAGATCACAGACTTCAGTTGAACGCAGCAAATTTTCACGGATTGTATTTGCAGCCAAGCCCGCTTCAAATGTTGGCTGCCCAGAATCAGCGCAAACTACCCTCCGAGCTCCGCTCGCAGGTCAAGAAAGCTAAAGGCGGCACTTGGTTTGATCGCACAAAAAGAAGGATTGGGATATGATTGAGCATTTTATGTGCTAACAGCTGACAATTTTCAATAGATCATAAAATATCATAAATGTTTTGCCATGGAAACTTAAGGCTGCCAGAAGAAGCTGCCTTCCAGCCATTGCATAGGTGCACACAACAGAAATATGAAACCAGAGTGCCGGAGTGCAAAGAAGACTTGTCACAGAACCGGAGCACTAGTCGTAGGATAGTGTATCTTTACCTTGCCCAAAACTGGTATTGTTGGGCGTGCCAAGTAGTACACTGCTGGGCACTGGGAGTGATGAGCGAAAGTAGCAGAAATTAGCAAAATGTCGGCTACTCCCGTGATCTGTTTGACCATTGATTGAAGGTTAAAACGGTTTTCTCACCAAAAATAGCAACACTCCCGTGCGCCGCTTTCCGGTGACCGCCTCGCCCAAAGTTTGCAATCAGAAATCCCATCAGATGATCTCAGGCATCAGAAATGGAGTTTGAAGCACTCCACTAGATCCGAAGCCAACTTGTCCATTTCAACCTCGGTGTCATGACAAAGTAGTCGGAGGTCGACAACGTTCACGAGGTGCTGCCTAGTCTTGGGAAGCGCATCGGGGAGAATATCATCTGGCTTCAAGTATTGCCAGGACAAGAAATTTCGAGCGTTGGCTGGATCGGAGAACTTCGCTATTCCATGTTTGCGTGCCTGCATGTCTTCCAGGAAGCTATTCAAACCTGGAAGTTCTTCTTCCGCTATGCTGCCATCGCCCTTTCGAAACTGCATCTGCATTGAGTCATACACAGGACCAACCAAACCATGGACCTGCGGAATGAAGTAGATTTTTTTGCTGCTGCCGGGGCTGAGTGCTTCCATCTTCTCTTTCGTTGCTGCCATCAAGAAGGCATACATCGAGTTGTGCTGCTCAATGCGCTCACTCATCACACTCAGTTGAGGGAACATGATGGCACCCTGCATGTTGGTCATTCGGACTGACTTGTTCACAGTCGTGTACTTGTACTGGAGGGCAACCTCCTCTGGGGGTGTCATTGGCCCATGCTTCTTCCAAAGCTCTTCGTAGCTTCCAGCTGAGAAAATGAAGAAGGCTTGCAGGGCCTCATTGCTAGTCAAAACCATGCCACCCTCTCCAGTGTTTACAAGCTTGTTGGCTTGAGTAGAGATGGTTGAAACCACTCCGAAAGACCCACACATGCGGCCATCAAAAGAGCATCCGTAGCCGTGCGCAGAGTCTTCCAACAGTTGCACCTGATACTTCTCGCAAATGTCCATGATGGTGTGCATGTTGGGAACCCGGCCGCGCATGTAGGACAGCACGAGGATCATGTTACCTGGTGCGAAGTTGCCAGATGCCAAGTCCTCCTTGATGCAAGCCTCCAGGTGATCCGTATCAATGGTCAACTCTGGGGTTGCCTCAATCAGCTTCAAGGTGCTGGCAAAGCCAGCAACCACACATGCCGAGGGCACTGCATTGAAGGTGAAAGCATTGGAGTACACCCTGATGCGATCAATCTCAACATCAGGGAAGAACACCCGCTTGATACCTTCCAGCCCAAGACTGATTGCAATGCCGCCACTGTTCAATGACAGGGCATATTTCGTGCCAACATACTCAGCAAAGAACTTCTCACACTTCAACAAAAAGTTGTAATCCTCTTCTTTGGCTTGGTATCGGTTCAGCATATCTTTCTTGAAGAGAAGCTGCACATTCTGCAGCCCAACTTCCTGTGGAATCTCCAGGAGCCGGCGCTTCACACTGTCCGACACTGAAGAATTCATGTCGGTGCTGGCCGTATCACTGTCTCCTGCATCATTTTTCACGGGACTCCCAGGCAATTCTGGGGCCATCTTCAAGCTTGCCATGTCCGCAGCCTTCTACAACAAATTGACTCAAGGATTGAAATGGATTGAGATTGAGCACAAAGGCTTTCCATCAACTGGTGCATGACAACAGCAGTGACAACAACTGTGCCACTGACTATGCCTGACATGTCCAGAGATACATGCCAAACTTCTGAAATCGAATGCACATGATGCACATGTCGCCTTTTCTCCAAATGGGGGACGCCCAAATTTATTGCAATTTTACTGGGGAAAATGATGAGAAGCTCTGCGGGGTTGGGCTGGAACAGTCGGAACAGTGGGCTTGGGCCTGAGTTCCAAAGGGCTGCGGCCCATCGCGCTGCTTGACTCTTTGCATGTGCTTGGAGCCAGAGCTGAAGTCTCCTCGGTGTTTTGAAATCGAATGACACAGGGTAATGAGCGAGCACGACTGCAAACCCGTCTGACTTGGAAGGCGGGTTCCAAATGGACACTGGATGACACTGGCCCTGTCAAGTCAGAATAAGTCAGAGTCAGACCTTCAGCGAATCACCCCATGATGCCTATGGTCTATGGCTGTGATACAACTATCACTCACCGAAATATCCTCTAGCTGTGCGGGTATTCAGATACAAGTTGGAATATTTTGGTATAATTAACGATAAATTTGCATGTCGCAAAATATCCTTTAAACATTAGTCCAAGGATCGCTGCCTGCAGTGTACAGTGCTGGCGGAGGTGTTTTGATACCACAGCCTTGGCCTCCAGCGCACAATTCTGCGCACACAAATCCTGAGCGAGCGAACAAAATAGGTTGATACACTCATAGACCAAAAGCACACCATAGCACCAGCATCGCAGCAACAGCGGCAACAATGACAACAACAATAACACAGCAAGAAGAATAACAAACCATAACAAACCACAAAACCACCAACCAGAAAACCACAAAACCGCTAGCCACAAACTTACAGCGTAACAAGCTGGTCCCTAAGATCAAATGAGTTCAAATGTCTGTAATTTATTGTAATTTCTACTAGTAGTGAATATGTCCGGCTTGGGCTGCCTCTTCGGCTACTTCACGCAGGGCCAACAGTAGAGCGCCAAAAAGCCAGCCACTTGCCACGTGCTGCTGGCCTGCAAGTCACTCCATGCGAAAGCTGCTGGAAGATCTAAAGAGGGCACAGTACAAACACATATTGTATCAATTTGTATCATATTATTGTCTCTATTTGGTGATGCGTCAAGCCGCTTCTTGAACATAGAATCAAAGAAGCCAAGAGATCAAGCAGATTTGAATATCGTGAACAAAGATGCACCCAATGCCAAGCACATCTCCACAAGGGCCTCGCAAAGTCTCAGCCAATCGCACCCGGCTGCTACGGCTGCTGCGCGCTGCTGCCAGTTTGCAGCGGATCTGCCCTGGAAGTTGAGCTGACCTGGAAGTCCCGCAAGGAGGTTTCGAAAGCCACATGCCAATGCTCTGCTTCCATAGATCATAGCCCTTCCTAGCCACTATAGAATCTAATGAAGAAAAATCAGTAAAACACAGCACATCGTATCATGTAATTAATGTCCTATCGGTGTCTTCGGTTCCTGAATATGTCAAGTCTCAGTGATGCGTCCAAGTCACTTGACCCAGTCAAGCTGCAGCAAGTCCCGGCAAGCCAACACCACCCGCTCACGCTCTTTGCTCGTGAGTCCGGACCTGAGTTTGGTCATTCCATGGTGTCCTCCCGAAA